CCTGGGAAGAGAAGCAGGGCCCAGAGGGCAGGATCAAAGCACCAGCCAGAATGAGGTGGGCACAGAACTAGCCTGCAGAGAAGTCCGGGCAGGAGAAATCTGGGCCTTGGAGTCTGCATCTGTACAGGGACAAAATGCAGATCCTTACCCTGGTAAGTACCTGGTGCTGTGGCTGGGCATGTCCCCCTGGGCTCCAAGGAGGAGGCCTGCCCCAGTGCCCCAGCTTTGGCTGGGGTCCAGGCCACATCCAGATGCACTCAAGGCTGCCTGATATTCGCATTCATCGGATCTGAGTACTAGAGACCTGGAGAGGCCCATAGGCAGAGACAGTGGGGAAGGGTCTACCAGATTTGAGCAACCTTGGTGGGGGGTGGGGAAACAAGCCCTGCTGATAAACCTTCAGAATACGCCCCCTCTCCTCTACCAGCTCCCAACAGCCTCCTCCACAGAAGCTACTCTTTGTTAACAGTGTTGCCATGGCAACCGGATCCAGAGAGAACTCTCTCTTCAAGGTAGAGTCTGAGGGTAACACTTGGAGAAACAGAAGTAGTGGTGACAACAAACAGGGTGCTGGCCTCCCAGCCCTGCCCCCAGGATTCCTTCCTGGTCCGGGACCTCAGACAGCATCCCCCCAGACGCCATCTCTCCAGACTGTCCCAGAGCTCTCAGGTCTGCTCCCCTCTCCTGACCTCTCCCTGGTGTGGGGGCAGCAACGTGGCCCAGGCCAGGCACCTCTGCCCACCACACACAGCAGCTCAGGCACTTCCATGCACCTTCCTGAGGATGTTCGCTGAGTCCGCCAGCACAGCCACTGTCTCATGGCTGGGCTCCAACAGGCCTGGTACAGACTGGACTCCAGGGGATCACAGACAAGTACACCCAGGGCAGCTGCTGCACAGCAGCCCCAGGCCCCCAGCACAGCCAGAAGGTTCAGGAAGGCACCCGAGGATGGCTGGGAGCCGCCTGAGGGGAGGGAGTCCCAGCAGAGCCCATGCCCTGAGTGGGAGAAGAGACTGCAGGGGAAGGAGGCCACTACACTGTCCCGGCCACTACACTGGGGTGGCAGCCCAGCCCACAGAGGCTGCAGTGAGCAGGGAGACGCAGAAGGGGCAGAAGAGAGGTCTGGAATGGGGTACCCCAGGCTGTCTGACAACTCCAGGCAAAGGGAACCTGGCAGAGGGGACAAGGGAGAGCTGGCTGCCCACTTGCTCAGATGGGGAGCCTGGGGCAGGCAAGGTTCAGGGTCATGATGATGTGCATCGTCACCTGGGAGGCGTCTGGCAGGCTCACAGGCTGACAAAGTCCAGAGGACAGGTGGGGGCCGATGGGAGCTAGAACTGGATCAGCACGGAGGAGGGAACAGACGCTGTGGCGGGGAAGAGGGTTTGAGCCCAGGTCCTGAGGAACAGGGACTCTGAGTGTCCCAGGACATGAGGAGGAGAACCAGGGGCTGACCAAGCCCAGGAGATGGGTGTCTGGCAGCAGGGCAGTCGACGTCCATGGCCTCTCAAAAAGATATCTCTGGACTGCAGGAGGTGTGTGCAGATTGGCGTGGGTGGGAGTGAGTGGGAAGTGAGAATACGGAGTGGGCAGAGAACATGTACATCTTCAAAGTCAGCCCGCACAGGCGACCAGGATGGGGACAGCTGAGCAAGTTTTGTTGTTGTTTTTTAAAAAGGAGAAGCACCTGCCAACCAGGCAGTGACATCTTTGCATCCCACGTGTGAAGTGCCCACCCTGGGCTGTTCTGTCTGGAGTCCCAGCCCAGGCCTCTCCTCTTCGAGCTGGTGCTGGCCTCTGCTCCCTGAATTCACAAAGAACCCCACAACCCACTCACAAGAGACAGGCAGGCCTCGGAGCCCCTGCTGGCTGCCCTGGGCAGCACATGCCCACAGCCTGGCCCCTAGCCCCAGCCTGGGCAGAGCCCAGGGCAAGGCAGGCAACCACAGGTGGGGAGAAGCTTCCCAGGGCAGGATCACTGAGTGTCATTCCGAATCATGCCCAAAGGCACCCATGGGCTTCCTGGGAGGTGCTGCAGCAGAGCTGGGGCTACCTGACTGCTCTCTCCCTGCCTGGCTTCCCTCTCCACAGTCCACCGGGCATAGATGGCCACAGCAGCAGTCACACCCACCCTCCCTCACAGCACAGGCCCTGCTTGGGCCCTTGCACCTACCCACTCCCAGCCGAACATCCCTCATAGCCCCCTGTCAGTGCCTGGGGCAGCCTCTGCCAGCCTGTCCAAGGCAGTAAGCCCTGAGGCAAGAGCCCCTCTTGTACTCTGAGCAGGCCAGGACCCCGAGGGGCTTTTGGGCTTCCCTTCACACAGTGCCCACCAAGCCACTGCTGGGCCACACCGGCTGACCTTTCCAAACCCTTTTCTGGGGCTGCTAGCTGGGGAATTCCTGCTGTCCCAGCACACAGGGACATTCTGCATGGGCTCCTGGCAGCTCGCCACTCTGGGCCAATCCAGAGCCCACTCTCACACACCCACAGCCCCAGGCTCTGTGCCCAGAAAAGTAGGCAGTGAGCCCTCTCTGAACCTCCACAGGTCAGGCTGACAGCCATAGGGGAGGGACTCTGACACCCCCAGCAGGTGAGCCCTCCTCTACGGCTGTCAGCCCACCAGTGCCACTTCAGTCCCCTCCCTCCGCACATCACACCCTTGCTAAGTAAACACTCATCCTCCCCAGCAGGGAGTGGGCAGGGGAGGGCAAAAGGGAGGCGGGCTGGAGTGGGTGGGAGTTAACAGGAGGCAGATTGGAAGCTCCAAGAGAAAAACAGCCAGAGCGCTGGGCCAAAGCAGATGGCCTCAGGAGGAAAAAGGGGAAAGGGAAGGAGGGGCCGCCAAGGGGCAGCAGAGAGGGGGAAGATGCCTTAAGTCTCCCTCCCCATCTGCCATGCCCCCAGAGCCCACCCCCAACCCAGGGCCCCTCCTCTGGGGTGGGCCACGCAGAGAAGAGCATCCCTCCACCAGCCCCTCTCCCGAGGACAGTTGGTGGGGACCAAATCTTCTGCCCCCATCCCTGCCTTGGCACAGCACCTTCACTTGACCTATTTGACAAATATGGCTTCTGTGAAACCCACGGTTCTGTGGCTAAAAACCAAAGGCCAACCAAAGCTGTCCCATCTTGCCCCTGGCGTCATTCTACAGGTGGGGACCGGTGTGCTCAGGGGCTCCCAACCACACTGTGTCCCAGTGTCCACTCACTCACCTCCCCAGGGGCCCTTCCCACCGCCGGGGGCCACTAGTGTGCGTGGCTCTCCCCACCCCGGCCACTTCCAAGCACAAATGCCATTTCTCCCTCCTCCTCCTCCTCCCCTGACTGCAGTTGCTAAGTTACACCAAAAAACCCCTCTGCTCTGTGTGAACTGTTCCATTTCTACAATTTGCCAGGTGGAAGGCAGCCATCCGGCTGGTAGCTCGAAGATGCCTCCCAGAGAAAAACAAACTCGCTGGCTGGCCTTCAGGCCAAGGCACACCTGGGAAACCTGCTTGGCTCGCAAACCCAGGGGCCTGTGCAGGAAGACAGGGCTTCTCCGCTTCATCAGAGAGCCTGGGGATCCAAGCAGCTTACACCCTTCTCAGAAGCAGGACCTGCGGGCCTGCTGTACTCCCACCTCAGCTGGGCCACTACCACCCACAGCCCTAAGGACACACACTGGCTGGAGGGGCAGAGAACCCACCCACATGTTCCTGGCAACCCAGCTGAGGTCCTTCATGAGACCCCACTCTGAATCTTCCCTTCCTGGGCTGGGGTCCTGAGGTTCCAAAGCAAAGTGCCACTGGACATCAGGGTGGAAATGCCCTCGGAAGTCATCAAAACCATGTCAGTCTACAGATGGGGAAATTGAGTCTCAGAGGCCTGCAGCCTGCCGGTGGTTCACTAATTAAGACCTGTGGCCTCTAGGCTGGAAGCCCCCCAGAGCCCCTTAGACTCCAGGGCCCTGAGATGGACAGGCAAGACTGCATCCGCATGGCAGCAGAGAGCCCTGGGGAGCAGAGGGAACCAAGGCCTCTGGGAGGCTCATCTGCACCCAGCCTGACTCCTGTGTTTCAGGCTCCTGGGACCGATGACCATCGGTGTCCTTCCCGCCCAGGACAGTGGGAGAAGAGTGGTAGTAGTGGGGAGAGTGAACCAGAGGGGAGCTCACTGCTCTGAGCAGAGAGGGAAGGAGCCCCGGCCACCATCAGGTCTCTGCCCCCAGATGGCTCCCAAGAGGCAGGCAGCGGCCTCTCTAAATATCCACCAGGTCCAGCACCCAGAGGCAGCCAGAAATGCAGGGCACAGGGACATGCCAGCACGTCCCTCCCCACACAGCAGGGGACTCCCGCCCCCACCTCTCACTCATCGACCCTCAGACCAGAACCAGCTGCACCTGCCCTGTCCCTGCGGCCCGCAAGGCCCAGGTCAAAGAGGGTGTGGTCCTTCAAATGACCCTTGCCCAGCAGGGAGAGGGAGTCACCTGCCACAGCCCTGGCCCTCTGCCCCAAATGCAGAGCTCAAGCCCCAATTCCTCGCCAAACAGCAAGGGCGTGAGATGCCACGGCGGGGCCCAGAATGCAGAAGAGCAAATGGAAACTTCCAACTGCGCAGCCCCGAGCTCCTCCGATTCCCCAGCCCCCTCCCCCACGCCAGGCTCCGGGCAGTGGACCTGCCCGCGGTGCCCATGCCTGCCAGCCGCGTGCGCTCCCGCCACGCCCGGCCCTGCCCGGCCAAGCCCGGCCCGCCCAGTGCCGTGTAGAGGCGGAGGGTGCAGGGGGTCCCGGCGCCGTCCAGCCCGGGGCGGAGTTCTCAGCAACTCCGCGCACCTGGCTCCCCGCCGCCCTCCCCCGCGACCGTCCTCCGCCCCGCGCCCCGGCCCCACGACAGCCGCGCCGGGAGGGACCTCGGGTCCGCGCACGCCCCGCCCTGCCCGCGCCGCGACCGGAGGGCACGGCCCCGGGCGGGGGCGGGGGGGGGGGAACCCCGAGGGACTGAGGGTCCCCGGCCGCTGCCTACCTCGGTCCGGGCCAGCGTCACTCCCGCGCCGCCCTCGCGCCGCAGTCGGGCCCCAAGCAGCGCGCGGCCAGCGCCGGCGGCGGCTCATGCTCGGCGCCAGGGCCCGCGGCACCCGCCCACCCGCGGCTGCCCCCGCGCTGCGCCAGCTGCGGGCAGAGCAGCTCCCTCCGCAGCCGGCGCCGGGGAACGCGAGCGAGCGGGCGAGCGCCGAGCGGGCACGGAGCGGGCGCGAGAGCGCGGGGAGCGGGCGGGCGCGGGGCGCAGTGGGAGGAGGGTGCGGGGCGAAGGTGCAGGGGGCAGGGGGAGGTAGGACGCGGGACGGGGCTCGGGCAGAGGGAGCCGGGACAGGGAGGGCGCCAGTAAAGGGCGGGCCAGGCTTTCATTTAAAAAGGATAAGGCAACAGACAACCTAGGAGGCGATGCGGCCACCGCATTTAAAGGGCCCTTTCGGGACTCCTGCAGAGCTGGCAAAATTATCAGTGGCAGGGGACTATGAAAGCCCTTCGGTGGGCAAGACCTTAACCATCGCATTCGCCGTATAAGGTTGGTGGTTGGTGGTGGGTTTGTTCCCATTGGACAGGTTAGTAAACTGATGCGCAGGGAGTGCGGTGACCCTGCAGGCTCTCAGAGCTGGTAAGTGGCAGAGCAAGGCTCCAAAGCCACCTTGAGAGATTCCAGAACCACTGAAGCAGGACGCAGGTCTTCTGGCATCCAGTGAAACCTCCTGTCGCTCTGAAGGGACACCTTCTGAACGGACACGTTCTGAACGGACACCCTCTGGCCTGACCCCGGGGTGGGGCTAGTGACTCTTGGAAGCAGTCAGACTCAGGCCAGTGTGAAACAAGTATGAGGCCATGAAGCCCCCCAAGTGGAGGAGTCTGTGTGGAAAAATGGAGAGGAGCCCCACAGCACCCCTTGAAGAGGCTGAGGACCTTGCTTACTCACTCAGTCCCTGTGTCTTGAACACCTACTGTATGCCAGGTGTCAGACGGGGCACTGGGATTCGGCTGGGAATGTCTCTGGTTGGAGTTTGCATTCTTGTGGGAAGTGGGCAGTGAATGAAAACACACATAAATAGTTCATGTGTCAGATGCTTCAGATCCCAGAGGGAGGCCCAGCAAAGAGAGGGAGAGAGTGAAGAGAGGGGGAGGGGAGTTTGTAGGGTGGGGAATTTTTTTTTTCTTAAGGGGAGGCTTTGCTGTGTGGCCTAGGCTGGAGTGCAGTGGGTATTCACAGGCGCAATCACTATGCTTTACATCCTGAACTTCCTGACTCTAGTGAGCCTCCTGCCTCAGCCTCCTGAGTAGCTAGAACTGTAGCCTCTCATCACCATCCTTCCCTGCTGGATTGGGGATTTTTATTTAGGGTCGTCAGGGAAATCTAGGCTGAAAGGGTTGTATTTGAGCTAAGACCTAAGTGAGGCAAGCCATGCTGAATCTGAAGAATGAATATTTTCAGCAAAAAGAACAGCACATGCAAAGGCCCTGAGGTGGAGGATGCCTTAGAAGGAGGCCGGGTGGAGATGAGCAAGTGTGGTACGAGGAGCCTGCAGGAACTGCCAGGTGGACCTGATCACGAAGAGCCTAGCCAGCCATCATCCCTCTGTGGCTTTGACTCAGAGGGAGGTGGAGGGTTTTGCAGAGAGTAGTATTATGATCTATTTTTTACAAAAAAAATATATGGAAGATTTCAAACACTTACAGTAATAATGGCTAAAAAGGTATATACAATAACTCAATGGGCCAACTTCAACCATTATCAATACATGGCAAATTCTGTTTCATCTGTATGCCCACCTACCTTTCCCCCATACTGTTTTTTTGTTTATTCATTTTAAGAAAACTTTTATAGCTTTTTTATTTTTTTGTGAGAGGGTCTCACTCTGTCCCCAGGCTAGAGTGCAGTGGCACAATCATAGCTCGCTGTAGCCTTGAACTCCTGGGCTCAGGCAATCCTCCCGCCTCAGCCTCCCAAGGATAATTTTTTGTTAAGTATAACATACATAGACAAAAATCATAAGATTGTGCTCCATGAATTTTCAATAAGAATACATTCATTCAGTGAGAATATTAATCGCTCTCTGCACTTGGATTTTCACTGTAGAAAAGTTTTTAATGACAGATTCATTTTCTTTAATATATATCGGACCATGTGGATGATTCACTTCTTCCTATGTAACTTTTTGTAAATTGTGTTTTTATGGATTTTGCCCATTTTTTCTAAGTTTTCAGATTTTCTGACATCCTCATATTCTTGTTCATAACATGGCTATATTATCCCTCAGATGTTTGTAGAATCTGTAGCTGTGTCCCACTTCCATTCTGACATTGGGGACCTTTGTGTTTTTCACTTTCTCTTTTTTTTTATCAGTCTTGCTAGGGTTTTGTCAATTTTATAATTTTTTTTTTGAAGAAACAAATTTTGACTTTGTTCAGCTTTCTCTGTTCTTTATATTTCATGAATCTCTGCTCTTAGTTTCTTTGTGTGTAAAGCTCTCCTTTGGGGGAGTACTAACTGTCTTTCTAAACTTCCTTCCTTCTTTCTTTTTAGTTTCTGAAGTTGGAGGCTAGGTTCATTGGTTTTCAGCTTTCTTTCCTACTCTGTGGACTTAAAGCTATATATCTGCCTGTTAAGCACTGCTTTACTCTCTCACGCAATTTTTTTTTTTTTGCCACTATCATTTTGCTCAAGAGACTTTTAAATTTCCATTTGAATTCTCTTTTGGCCCATGACTTATTTGGGAGGACATTCCTTGATTCCAAATATTAGGGGATTTTCTAGCTACCCTCCTGTTACAGGGTTCCAATTTAATCACATATCAGGCAGAGTATACTCTGTGTGATTTCAATTTTCTGAAACCTGTTCATACATTCTTTATGGCCCAGAATATTTTCTGTTTTGGTAAATGCCCCATGTGCCCTTGAAAAGAGTGAATATTCTGTACATTTCAGTTAGGTTGGTTACTCAAATCCAAATCTTCTATATTGTTAATGAATTGAATCTCATATTCTATCAGTTCCTGAGACAGGTGTCTGAAAATCTCCAGTATGGTCCCAAACTGGAAACAACCCAAAAGTCCTTCAGTGGCTGAATGGATAAACTAATTGTGGTATATCCATACAATAGACGACTACTCAGCAGTAAAAAGGAGCAAGCCATTATTCAATGCAACAACCTGAATAGCTCTCAGGTGCATTATGTTCGGTGAATGAAGTCAGACTCCAAAGGATCTGTCGGACTTTTATATGACATTCTAGAAAAGGCAAAACTGTGGAGATATAGCTCAGTGGCAATGAGGAACTAGTAGTAGGGGAAAGCAAGCGTCGACTAGAGCACTGGGAAACGTTTAGGGACGGTGAAGAATGTCCCTGTATCTTGATTTGTAGTGGCAGTCACATGACTATGCATTTGTCAAGACTTAAAGTAGCTGCACAGCAAAAGGAGTGAATTTTACTGCTTTTCTCTGCTCCATGCTCGGTTGCTCGGGGGCCAGTACTGGCAGCAGTAGGTGGAAGGAGGAACCAGGATACCGCAAAAGCTGGGAAATGGACTCAGTGACCTTTGAGGATGTGGCTGCGAGGTTTACCCAGAATGAGTGGCCTCTGCTGGATCCTTCCCAAAAGAATCTCTACAGAGATGTGATGCCAGAAACCATCAGGAACCTGAAGTCTATAGGAATAAAATGGAAAGACCAGAACATTGAAGATCATTGCAAAGATTCCAGGAGAAATACAAGAAATCATATGACAGAGAGACTCTATGAATGTAAAGATGGTCAATGTGGAGAAACTTTCAGCCTGATTCCAGATGCTATAATGAACAAGAAGACTTTTCCTGGGATAAAACCTTGTGAAAGCTGTGTGTGTGCAGAAGGCAACATGGACCCTTCATCTCTGAATTGCTGCATCAGAGCTGACACTGGACACAAACCATGTAAGTGTCAGGAACATGGAGAGAAGACACATAAACATAAGCAGTGTGTAAAAACCTTCAGCTGTCTCCACTCCTTTCAAACACATGAAAAGCCTCACACTGGAGAGAAAGCCTATGATTGTAAGGAATTGAAAAAAACCTTCATTTCTCTCAAAACTGTTCAAAGACACAGGGTAATGCACAGTGGAGATGGACCTTACACATGTATTTGTGGGAAAGCCTTTGTTAGTCTCAGTCTAAATCTCACACATGAAAGATCTCATACTGGACAGAAGCCATATAAATGTAATGAATGTGGGAAGGCCTTTGATTGTCTCAGCCATTTTCATAGACATGAAAGAACACACACCGGGGAGAAGCTGTATGAATGTAAGCAGTGTGGGAAAGCCTTTAATCGTTCCAGTAATATCGTAGCACATGCAAAAATTCACACTGGAGATAAACTGTATGAATGTAAGCAATGTGGGAAAGCCTTTCATAGTTGGAGTTCCGTTCAAAAACATGCAAAAATTCACACCAGAGAGAAACCGTATGAATGTAAGCAATGTGGGAAAGCCTTTACTCGTCCCAGTTCAATTCAACAACATGCAAGAATTCACAATGGAGAGAAACTCTATGAATGCAAGCAACGTGGGAAAGCCTTTATTCAGTCCAGTGCCTTTCAAACGCATGTAAGAATTCACACTGGAGAGAAACCTTATCAGTGTAAGCAATGTGGGAAAGGCTTTAGTTTACCCAGCAATGTTCGAATACATGCAAGAATTCACACTGGAGAGAAACCCTATGAATGTAGGCAGTGTGGGAAAGCCTTTTCTTCTCTCAGTTCCTTTCGGTATCATGAAAGGACTCAACACTGGAGAGAAACTGTATGAATGTAAGCAATGTGGAAAAGCCTTTCTTCAATCCAATTCCATTCAAAAGCATGCAAGAACTCGCACTGGAGAGCAATCCTATGAATATAAGTAATCTGGGAAAGCCTTTAGTTGTTTCAGTTCCATTTGAACACATGCAAGAATTCACATTGGAGGGAAACCATATGAATGTAAGCAATGTGGGGAAACCTTTAGTTGTTCCTGTTCCATTTGAACACATGCAAGAATTGATATTGGAGAGTAACTAAATGTATGTAAGCCATGTGGGAAAGCCTTTAGTCTCAGTTCTATTCAAACACATGTAAGAATTCACAGTGGAGAGAAACCCTATGAATGTAAGCAATGCCAAAAAGCCTTTACTTGTTCCCGTTCTGTTTGAACACATGCAAGAATTCACAGTGGAGAGAAACCCTATGAATGACAGCCATGTGGGAAAGCCTTCACATATTTTGGTTCACTTCACGTGCATAAAAAAATTCACACTGGAGAGAAGCCATATGAATGTAAAACCTCTGGGAAAGCCTTCAGTCATATCACTTCCTTTCACAGACATAAAATTGTCCACAATGCAGAGAAACCTTATGAATATGAATGTGCAAAAGCCTTCAGTTATCACAATGCTTTTCACAGACATCAAATTACCCACACTACAGAGAACTTTGAGTGTAAGGAATGTGGGAAAGCCTTCTGTTATCACAGTTCCCTTCAAAGATATGAAAGGCCTGACATTGGAGAAAAGTTTTATAAAAAGTGTAGGCCAGCACTGTATCTCACTTCTGTAATCCCAACATTTTGGGAAGCCAAGGTAGGTGGATCCCGACATCAGGAGTTTAAGACCAGCCTGGACAAGATGGTGAAACACTGTCTCTACTAAAAATACAAAAAATTATCCAGGCATGGTGGTGGGCGCCTGTAATC